ATACTTATAGTCGTCTCCACTTTCCTTTGTCCTCTTGTGAAAGGAAAGTCCTCTTGGATGGAGTACACAGTTTATCTCTGTTGGTCAAGTCAGGCCACTTTCTCCTCGCCTCCTGTTTGTCAAGGGACTGTGAATTTTTCTACTCCGGTATGAACTTCTTCTACACTTTTCATTCTGTTCTCCCCTCCAGCAATCTTTCTTACATCCCAAGTCATTTTACATTTAAAGGTAAATACTGTATTTCAAATTGGAACACCAGACTCTCTATTTTTCACAAAGATCTTTCTGAAGACCAAATTTCTATGATAATGATGCATTATATAGCTCCATGGCAAAGAAAAAAAAAAGAAAGAAAACAGAAAAAGAAGAAAGAAAAAAGAAAAGAAAAAACCCTTGTCCTTCCTCATTTGCTACACACATTAGCACAGGCTTCAAGTTTCAACTCCCCTGTGGAGTTGGGTAAGATTTTTCAGCTGTTCTCCCTTCCCTTTCCTATTTTATTTTTTATTGTCTTTTTTTTTTTTTTTTAAGAAAAGTCTGGTTGTGTTGATGAGCACTTATCACTTCTAAATAAGAGCATGCTTTCATTTACTGAAATTAGATCCCCATTCACTTCCCTGGCACTGTCCAGGCTGTCTACTCCAGAGGGTTTAGGGCCTGTTAGTTGGCGCACAGTTGGAAATTGGGGGCATTGAGTGGCTGCCAAGGCTGGCAGACCTTTAAGATGGCATCTGGTGACCTTTTGCTGAGCCCCCTGGGTCGTTCATTTGAGATTTTATGTTCCCGGCAGGGGTGTAATCCAAATCAAATGTGAGATCTGGTGAGGTGGAGTTACACAGGCGGTAGGACCAACAGGGATCCCTACATTGCCTTGGGCAGAGGAGGCTACTACAGGCCCTTACCGTCCTCTTTCTAACCCTGAGACTCTAAGCTCTGGTAGAAGGTGGCACTGAAGGGCTGGTTTACAGATAGAGCTCAGTGTGAGAGAGGGAGCAAAGGAACTGTTTTCTCATTTATTTATCATTCGGCAACAGCACAGCAATCCTCCCTAATTGCCCTAGTTCCTGGATGACACTGAACTCTTCATGGCACCTCCTGGAGCAGCCGGGGGAGGTCGGAAGTACATATGCAGAAGCTAGCTGTGTGGCGCTTCCAAGAATCATCCATGGCATTCTTTCCCTTTCTTTTGAAATGGCAAATTTCTATTTTCAGTAATGTAGGTAGCTAGCGCACAAGCCTGGAGGGAAGAACTGTGAGTTCGTGAACAACATAACAACAAATGTGTGCTGTGGGATTGTTTGTGCTAACCACAGGCACAGGCTGTTTCTCAGCGACAGTCATTTTCATGTTAATTTTTAAAGTGCTATGTATTTTTTTAAACAGCTTTTACTTGGAACAGATTTTACAGGTTATTTTTGGTTTTACATCCACTGTGGCTGTTTTCAAAGAGAGGCAGATACATTTCAGAATTTCTCAGGCCATTCTGTCCTGAGACTGCCCAGAAAAGGGTTTTGAGGGTAATTGAAACAAACATAACATGTAGTCCTTGCTTCCATCCAGCAGAGAATTTCTATGCTCCACAACTATTTCTGCCTTCAAAACTTGCACTTCCTGCTTTGGTTGCCTGCTTTTCTGCTTTCTGCTCCTCCAGAATCCCAAACTTTGGTGGAGTGTCTACATACTTTATTGGTATATAAGATCTGAGTTTGCAGGCAACCAAGTAAACTTGGGTTTAAAACCTAAGCTCACTACTGAAAAGCTATGTAGAACTGGACAAGTCACATAAACTTTCTGAGCCTTGATTTCTTCATCTTAAAATAAGAATAACATGAACACCTGCCTATGGAGTTGATAAATAAATTAAGGTATATAAATGGCTATAGTGTGGCTACCATGTAGTTAAAAGCTCAATAGCACAATTTATTTTTGTAATCATTGCAGACCATAGTTATTTCTCTTTGTTCTTATCTTCAAACAGTACTGATTCTTTATAATATTCATTTGGCATTTATTTATATGCTAACTAATTATGTTTCATATTTTTATGTAATTTTCATACCAACTTCTTTTAACACTTTAGAGAAATATATCTACATTTACATAAAATACACTTGTCAAAGCCAACCACACAATGATATGATATACCAACCACACAAATATGATATACCCATTCACCAAACACCCAGATCAGGAAAGAATAGACCAGTATCCCAGAAGACCCCCACACTCTCTTCGGTATTCTGTATCTTACAAAGATAACCACCATCCTGTCTTGTAGAATTGTTTATATCAATTGTTGACTTAATTGTTCATGTTATTTTTGTGCAGCCAAATGAAAAGTAAGTTTGTTGATGTCAGGGAACTAATATCTTTTCTCACATCTCAAGAACTGTATATATATATATATATATATATATATATATATATATATATATATACACTTCTTGTAAGATTCCCATCTTGCACTGTTACCCTTCCTCTGAACCTGTCTTGGAAAGTCCTAGTCATAGGTGAGCTCCATGAAGACTAGTGTTCAATCTGGAGGAGAGTATCCAGCCATCCAACTGATACTACAAAACCTGTAGTCTCCAACTTAACTGGCCCCTGTCTTATTTTTCTGATCAGTTCTCTTCCACTCTTCAAAAACCATCTGTCTTTAATTCTGACTCTCTATCTCACTATTTTACCCATGAGACCTAACAAGTAACTGTCCCTTGTTATCAGAGGAAAAAAACTCAAGATGTCGGCAATCTCACCAGCCTCTTGTTACCACAAACAAACAGTTGCCTAGAAACACCCATCTCACTAACACCTTTCCCTGATGTTCCCTTCCTGCTTCTTTCCTCTTAGTGACATTCCATCTACTTTGGTCAGATTGCAATTCATCAATGACATCCTCTCCTTTCTCCAGGTCTGCCGGCTCTTCACCATTGGCCCGTTAATGTGCCCAGGTCCCTGCCAGCTTTAATCATGACAGTAACCAAGCACCATCTGAAACTCACATTCCACATCTACTCCCACCCTATCTTTCCCTTCTTACAGTCAGAATCTTCACCAAGGTCTTTATGCCTCCTGTCTACCATTTATCCCCTCTCTTTCTTCAGCTCCTTCAGTCTAGAATTCACCTCCATTATCTCATAGGATCCCCCCGACACACACGCAACATCCTTACAGCTAAACCACATAGATCCTTTTCAGAACTTACCTTTCTCAGCAGTGTTTGAAATTGTTGTCTCTTCACTCTCCCTGGATTATCCTCTTTGCTTGGCTGCCAAACCCCCACTCTCCTTGTTTCCCTCCTACTTTACTGGAAATTGCATTTTAATCTCCCTTTAGGGAGCCCTCTTCCCTCCATAAACATGCTTTCCATCAGAGTTCTTTCTTAAAATTGCTTTTCTTCTACGCTACCACTTCTACAACAGGATGACAATAAAAAAATATCCATTCATTCAAATCACTGCCTCTCGTTTGACCTTATTCAAATCAGCAAAAGTTTTATTCTCAGATAACATGTCATGCTTCAAAGTGGATTCTTTGCACCATATCAAAGGAACAGCTAATACTTAGCCTTCTGGTGGAAAGCATAGCTACCTTGAATTTTATTTTTTTTATGATTATAAAATGACATGTTCTCATTTAGAATAATAAGATATAATATGACACATATAGGGCACAATTTTTCATTTCTCTGGTTGTATACAAAGTATATTCATACCAATTCGTGTCTTTATACATGTACTTTGGATAATAATGTCCATCACATTACACCATCATTTCTAACCCTATGCCCCTTCCCTTATTATCCAAAGTATATGTATGAAAATAAGAATTGGTGTGAATATACTTTGTATACAACCAGAGATTTAAAAAATTGTGCTCTATATTTGTAATAAGAATTATAATGCATTCTGCTGTCATATATAAATAAAAAATAGTTTTAAAAAAGATATAATATGATATAATGTATTAAAGCGCAGTATAATACCCCAAGTTCTATCATCTAGAGATACTTACCTGTTAATTTCTGGCATTTTTTTCTAGACTAAATAATAAGCCCACACATTACTTACATATATTTTATTTGTTGAAATAATAATATTGTTCACTTATTTTTATGACTGGGCATTTATTTGTGTCATTAAAATTAATCATAAATATTTTAATGGCTCTACAATGTCTATCCTATGAATATAGGATCATCCAAGCATTACTGCATATTTCAAGTTTTCAAATTTCTTCTATACATTTTTTTCTTAGTACACATTCATAAAAATTGATCTACTTTACCAAAAAGGTTTAGCTGTCTGACTCTTAAGGAAATCTTATAAAATCACCCACTTCAAGTATTATGTCTATTTATGTGGCATTAGTACAGGTCTTTCTTATTTTCAGAGATGTTTTCTACATTTAAAATAATGTTATTGTTTTGATTCAGAAGTCTTTAGTTATTAAACAAAGTTGGCTTTTTGTTAATTTTGTTTGTTATTTATGTATTTTTAAAAACCATTCCTTCCATTTTTTTCCTTTCTCCTACCTGTTAAATATTAAATGTAGATGAAACAGTACTGAGAGAAAAAGAAATCTCCATGTGAGGCATCTGAAGAGAGACGGAGCAGAGCTGGAACTGGCAAATTGTGCTGACTTTCTTCCTTTTCTAGTTGCAAAAGCTGAAAATACCTGTTAGATTTGTAATTGAGAAATGTAATAACCTTTAGGGCCATTTTTCACACTGTTCACAGCTTCCCATAAGGGTCGGGAGAAGATGGATGGGTGATATTTATGAGGAAGTAGGGAGGGAAAAAAATGAAACCTGGAAAGACAACAGCACTCTCTCTATGGCAAATGATCCATAGACAAATACCAACATTTACTTCTGCATTCCACTCTGCCGAGTTAAGGATACTCATGCCACCAGACTAACACCTCCTGTTTCTCATGTCACCCTACTGTTTGAGGAGTCTGCCCCATGAGTAACAAAGTGCAAAACTGTTTCTTCCCAGCAAACAGAAAGAGAACCTGGAGGTGGAAACTGAAACAGCGCTCCAGAACCCCAGGACTGGGAATGCCAGGCAGATGAGTGGGGACGCACCAGCTCCCACTGACCCCTCTGATCACAAAACCATGGATAACCAAGATGACATGGAAGAGGGTAAGCACCCAGCCAACAACCAGAAACCAGAGAACCGCCAGGAACTCCTAACAGGAACATACTGTGGCAGATTCCTGGATGGCAAAGTGAGTAACGAGAAATTCCCGAGCTTTTCTTGGTAATTTACTAGGAAAATGGAAATGAAAATATAGGGTTCCCCAAACACACACTTGTAAACATAAAAATTAATATGTTTTTCATGAAATGGAAATTAGAATCATTACTTTTTCAATCTGAAAATAAATTTCAAGATCATCTGTATACTACATCTTTGTTGACCACCAATTGAGTTGGTCAACCTACTCTGGCTGTAGCTAAATCAGTGATATTCAGTAGTAACTACAGTGATTAAATATCACTATCTGTGCAAAGTTCTGGCCTGATGGAGGAGCAGGGTCTGTCTTTGTTCACATTACAGGAAGAGATAATTTATTTTCAAAATCCAATGCAACCATGTCTAAATATCAAAAAATTATAGACCAAAAACTGTCTTGATAGAAATATGTATCACTGCATGCTGTTAACAATCAACCAAACAATCCATAACAAACTGACTTTATAATGATGAATCTAAATGATTAGTAATTTGTAATTAAAAAGCAAGTATAGCAGCAATTGAAAACTGGATCTAAATCAAGACAAAACTAATGATTCATTGATAACAAAGTACAATTTCCAAAAATTGCTGAAATTGCAATTAAACAGATACATAGGGTAGGAGTTTTGCAATGCTGCCAAGCTCTAAGTGACAGCCAGATATTTTAGTAGAATACTGATTAGGGTCTGCAGCAAACTCTAACATAACTATTTTTGGTTGAAAAATTTAATAGCCCTTTTAAAATCACTGAGATACTATCTAGTCTTTAGTTGTATGAGAAAAGGACTACCTGGGGATTTGTGGTCTTTTGCTCATAAGAACTACTCAAAGTATTACAGATTTTGAGTAGTGGAAGCTTATCAATGGACGTCACACGTTGCTCCACAAGGTCTAGTTCAACACTGAAGTCCATTTATAAAAGTGACTCTTTCAAAACGTTTAGTGGCATAGCCTAGGCTGGAACCAGGGCCTCCTAGTCTCCATTTATTGAGTTTTGTTTTTGTTTTGTTTTGGCTTTCCCAGAATGAGTTTTTGAATTTTGTTCCTTCTTAGAGCAGGAGATAATGAATCTGGAGAGGTGAAATAATCTAGGATGAATTTCTAAAGACTTTTGAGTTGTACCCTCAAATTTGACTCTGACATTGATAAATTTCTTGTTGTTCCTGTTGCTTCCCAAGGATGACATTGGTAATAATAATTCAGCTAAAAAACACTTATTATTGACTGCTTGCATGTAAATTTTATTATTAATAAAATTAATAAATAGTGCTACTATTAATAGGTAGCACTATTACTTCCATCATCGTGGTATGGATGATAAAACTGAGACTCAGAAAAGTTGAAGTGACTCAGGTATGCAGGTAAGATGTTTACCCAGGTCTTTTTAAATCTTTTTTTTCCTTCTTCTTCACTTGAATTTTTCATTGATCATTCTAATTATAAAATATTACGTACTCATGTAGAAATTCAGGAAAAGAGAAGGAAGTAAAATGTAACCAAAGAAACTAGTGGTTCTCTTGCCCTTGATTTCTCTTCTTTTCTCCATGAGCAGATACAGAATGGAATCATTATGTGTATGTTCATTGTTATCCTGCTCAATTCACTACATATATAGAATTCTCTCCTTGGAATGAAAAAAAAATCATCCTACACATCATATTTAATGACTCTGTAAGAGTCATATTCAGAACTAACACTTGGATAGCATTTGCTATGTGCCAGGCACTATTCTAAGCTTTTTACATATATTAACTAATTTACTCTTCCCAAGCACCCAGTGAGGTAGGAACTCTTATTATCTTTAGTTCATGGATAAGGAAACTGAATAACAAAAGGTCAAGTGACTTGCCAATTTCATAAGGCTAACTAGTGACAAAGTCATAATTCAAGCTCAAGTAGTAGGTCCTGAATCACTAAATTGCATCTCTTCCTCTCTATAGATATAATGTGGTTGATTTAATATGTCCCTTATCTAGTTTTCCTCTTACAAATGGAAATTTGTAAATCAATTCTAGTTTTCCTCTTACAAATGGAAATTTGTTTCTTGACACTTCTCCTAATACCTCCACCCACCATTTGTGCCATGAATTCTGCATCCACCAGTGCAATGGGCAGAATGTTCATTGGGTGAGCAGTTCTTGGACCTCCGTGATCTGGAATCTTTGCTGGGTCTATGGTAGCAGAGAGAGGGGATTTGCCTCTCTTTTCTCAGAACTCATCAGGGTTTTGTGGGAGGCTCAGCAGGGCTAACACCCAGCCACCAAATTCAGGAAGGCCTCGTGGGAAGTGTGGGGACTGACTAATTGGTTCTGTCTGCCAGGCAGGCCTGTAATGCTGGCTTGCCAGATGGCTGCCACCGTAGCCGGCTACAGAGACCCTCATTACCACCTTGACTAAGTGGTAAATGGAATCCTGCCGCAGTTACAGAAGCAAACCAATCAGAACTCCTTCTAGATCCTTGTCACTCACACATAGATGAAAATAAGTTTCCCTGCCTGGGACATAACAGGCAATCTGGACTGGCTGAATTTGCTCCAAAAGCAAAGTTGCTGATAAAGACGGAGCTAACATGAGTGAGGATGAGCAAGTATGAAATAACAGATTAAGTTCAATGAGTATCATTGGTAGGGGGTAAATAAAGCTGAAAATGCTGCAAGAATCCATTTTAAGTATATGAGAACAATAAGGTATTGTATAGATCAACAAGTACAAAGCTTGATTTCACAAATGAAAAACAAGAGACCCAGAGGGCTTCAGTGATTTGTGAAGATTCATGTGAAGAGAGCTTGTTTCCTCTTCCCATCATCCTTAGGATGTTTCTCCTGGAGAGTCTGCTCCTAATGGGTAAGTCTTTGAAGATGTATATATTGTTATATTGTTTTTCAGAATCATTAGCTTTGCCTTCTCTCAGAAAAATTAAAAAAAAAGTGTGACAAGCAACAAACTCAGTAACACAGTTTCAAAAATAAAATTTGATCATGATTTTTGCATCTGTCAGCATGAAAATAAAAGTGTGCTTTAATTTTAATAGTCTTCACAGTTCACTGCGTGGGCATGATTTTCTAAACCCTTTGGCATGTATTTTCCTTGTTATACTCCATGAGGTAGGAAGAAGCACATGATTCTATTTTCATTGAATAGATGAATAGGCAGAGGTCAAGGACCAGGAGAGTATTCACAGTGTATTCACCATGTGCAGAGCAGAACCTGTGATCCTGCTCTTCCTTTGGTAGTCTGTATCTCCTAGAAGGATCCCACCATTCTTCCATTGGTGCCAGCAAGAAACCTGAGCATACTTTCCTTCTCTCTCTCCAACCCCCCACTCTGATGTCCAACCAATCTCTTTTCCGTTATTCCACCTTCGTGTCTCTCAGAATGTTTTCTTTCATTTGTTTCTTCTGTCGTCGCCCCAGTCAGACCACCATTCTATCCCACCAGTGACTTTAGTGTTCCTCAAACTACTTTCTTTTCTCTAAACCTCCCTATCTGTACCGGTTAGCTATTATAAATCAATACCGCGGTGTAATAAATCACCCAGTACTCAGTGGTTTATAACAATAATTGAATATGCTTATATTCAAATATATGAGCCAAGGCAGCATTTACTAAGCTCATGTGGGTTTTGTCTGGGCTTGGCTTTATCTTCTTATTTGGTTCAAGTCTGCTTGTTTTTCTTATTCTGAATCCATCGGGTCCCTCCAAGCATGTTCATCGCATGGTGATAGAGGACAAATTCAACTACTCAAGTACATTTTAAGTCTTTGCTTATGTCATACCCACTAACATATTGTTGGTTAAAGCAATCAATCCACCACATGGCCAAGCACAACACCGATGAGTCGGTGATTGATACATATATATATGCCATGTAAATAGAAGACCTATAGAATTCAAAAGAAAAATCTACCTAGTATAATTTGTGTAAGGTAAAGTTTACATCACAAATGAACAGGGGAAAGATGGACTTTTTAATCAGTGATATTGAGATTATTGGAAAGTCACACAGAAAATTTAAATTGGGCCTATTCCACATATGTCATACATATATGGAATATATATATATATTATATATGGTATATTATATATGGTATATATATATATATCTCCTGGGCTGAAAGAGAATTTTCTTAACTCTGACTCAACATTCACATATACTAAGAAAAAGAGTGAAATTTTCACTATTTATTTATGGATAAAACCACTGTAAGCAAAGTACCAAAATCTGAAAAACTGAAGAGAAATTTGCCATTGATACCATGATAAAATATAGACCTAACACATAGGATTGTCTATGTGAAAAAAGAGATTAAACTATTAGAAAAATAGGCAAAATGAACAAACAAAATGAATTTGTTTTTACAGAAAAACAAATGTAAATGTTTCTTAAACTTACCAAAAAACAGAACCTTGCTCTTAATAAGTAGAACATAAATTAATTCTTTCTTACAATAAAATTTTCTTACTGGCAAAATCAAGAAATTGATAGCATGCTTTGTTTAAAAGCTGTGGCAAAGAGATACTTTGCTATACCGATAAAGGAAATTTAGAATGGAACAACCACTTTGGAAGAAAACATTACAATGATTAGAAGCTCTTCCAATGCATTTAGTTTTTAGTATGAAAATTGCACTTTCAGAAATCTATCTTAAGAAAACACTGGAAAATTATTAGAGGTTTCATTCCGAAGGTATTCATTACAACATTACTTGTTATACCAAAAAATAAACAACTTAAATGTTCATCAATAAGGAATGGCTGAATAAACAAAGATACATCCATATATGGAGTACTATGAAACTATAAAAAGAAATTATGGGGCTAGGGATATACATCAGCTAGTAGAGTGCTTGCTTCACATGCACAAGGCCCTGGGTCCAATCCCTAGCACCAGAAAGAAAGAGAAAGAAAGAAAGAAGGAAAGAAAGAAAGAAATTAGGAACTTTTATATACATATGTGTGTGTATGTGTGTGTGTATACTATATATAAAT